GTGTGTGTGTGTGTGTGTGTGTGTGTGTGTGTGTGTGTCATGATTCTTGGATGACAAGGCTGCATTGATTAACCCTGACGATTCTGTCTTACAGCTGTTCAGCATTTCTGTGTGTCTCAGCATGCATGCAATAAGTGAGTGTATGTGTGTTGGCCATTAGTATGCAGGACGACATGTTTATCATGTTAATAGCTTTAGCTGCATTGTGTTCAAATGAATAATTGCATTAAAATGATTCATTTTTTGTTTATGCTGGGAAATCTGTGTGTGTGTGTTTGTGTGTGTGTGTGTGTGTGCGCGTGAGTGTGTGTGCGCTTGTGGCCTCGGCTGCCACCGGATAAAGATGTCCAGTGCTGCTCTATCGGGTCACATCAGTATGCAGCAGCAGCGGTGCCAGCCTATTCACTCAAAGGGGAGCTGGGCACAATTAGCTGTTAACGTTACATGGCAGAATTAAGCCTCGGCCAGAATCCCCGGGGGAAATTAAACCACCGGTAAATCATTAAACCACAAGCTAAACATTAACAGCCATTTGCATTTTTATTGCACCTGAAAAGAATGTGCCAGGTCCATTATCTCTGAGAGACAGAGGGTGGACTTCTTATTTAGTATTGTTATGTCGTCCCGTGTGGGTGCACAATGGTGTTTGTACGGGGAGAGAAGAAGCAAACGAGAGGCCTTATTTTCACGCTCTCGCTTTTTTTTTTTTTTTTTTTTGGGAGTGTTATGATTACAAATTCGAACAAGGCGGAACCGGCTGGCAGAGGGTACAATGGCTTGTTTGTTATGCAAATTCCCCCCCCCCTCCTGCTTTCATCCCTACTCAGAAATAAACAAACCCAAGCAGATGACAATTTGCAGAGGGGCTCAGCTGAGTAAGGCCGGCAGTTTGGCTGCTGACAGGTTCTGATTATCTGCAGTGTCATTGCTGTTGAGTGTTTTGAATAAACAGGCGTAAGCGGCTAGGAAATGGGAGCGATGAAAACACAAGTGAAGAATTCTGGTGGGAAACTGAATTCGTTCACTCACTTCTCGCTTTTTTTCTCCCTCCTCTCTCCTCTGCAGGTGAGCGGGATGTGCGGACAAACTCCTCAGCGCGCCTCCCGCTCGGTGGGATCTCCTCCTCCGTCGCCTCCCGCCGCCTCCGCGGCCCGCAACCCCCGGCCCTCATCCTCGGACTCTGACGAGACTCTGGGCGGCCTCCGCAGGTGAGACGCCCTCCGGCTGCTGAAGCAGGGCTCGCTCTCCAGACCGCTGCAGGGTCGATTATATGTCTGGCAAACAAAACACTGTCCCTGACACCGCGGACAGGTTTCTTGCTGTTTCCTTGTGACAGTCAGTCTTTCACCTCTCGAGTGTTTTCCCACACCCCTGATGCACTTCAAGCTTAAATGAACAGTGTAATAATGCCCAGCGGGGCTGCTGGCCTCGGCAGCACAATGGCCAGATTAATGTCAATTAGGACTGTAGCTGCTACTTGTTCTCGCCTCTGTTACTCTCTCTTTCTCAAGGGGGATCTCATCGACCTGCTTTCACTGCTATCAAGCCCAATCTGTTTCTTTGCTCGTGTCTCTCCTCCCGCTCTATCTTCTCCCTGCAGATTGTTCGAGAGTCATATTCAGATCAACTGAAAGTTTTTATTCTTTGCCTTTCTCTGCGTTGAACATTCCCTTCTCTTTTCCTGCACCTCAGGGAGTTCATATCCAGCTTGAAGGGCTTCAGCTCCTTCTACAGTGGTCTCGGGGAGGCGCTGTGCAGCCGTGAGCCCGCTCCCGCGAACCACTCCCTCTGCTGGAACGGGCAGGAGATGACAGACAGGTAAATCAGTGTCTCGTTTTGCCTGTATGAACAGCTGTAGCACACACTATAGACGAATGCACCCTACAACGTGCCTCGGGTTTATTGCCTTTACTAGAGGACCAGTTTATGACCACAAATAGTCCTGCTCTGACTCCTGAATCCCCAATAATCCAGCAACACATCTAGGAGGAGAGTGTAGGTGAGCTGAAGGGTAAGTTTGATCAGAGCTGATGAGCTCCGCACGAGGGCCCCCCTCTCCCACCGAGTGTGAGTGTAAATCTTGACTTTGGCTCGATGGGATGTTATTAATGTCAGCCGCACTGTCACCTCATTCTCGCTTAGTTAATTGCTGTTTCGATCGCTCTCTCGCTCCTTCATCCAACATCTCCCGCGCTACCCTGCAGAACCTCATTTGGTTTGTGCAATATTTCTCTTCACCCCTGTCCTTCTGGCTCCACACATCATAACTTCCTCTTATTTCGCCCGCGCCGTCAGCTGGCCCCAATTTCAATTTGGCATACATAGTTATATATATCATCCGTTTTTTTTAACCTTTTTTTTTTTTGCTTTTGTAAATTACGTGTGAAATTTAATCAACGCAGAGGCACACAATTCAGACGGAAAGCGGCTGCAGGTTAATGTCTCACCTCTTGTTCCCGAGGAGGGGCCGAGAATAAATTCTCACACTACTGAAAGAGAGTCTGTCACAGAGGTAGAAAAACAGTCTCAATCTGAGAAGAGGCATCAGGTGAATATGGGGGCAGAGCTGTCCGGAGGGCATGATTGCCTGCTGGACCGATAGGAAGGTGCAGAGAGGCAGGAAAGGAGACCGGAGTGATGGAGAGATTACAGTGTCTCCGGGCGAGCAATTCTCCGTGTCGTCTGCGAGGGCATGTATGCCTGCACATTCACTCAGGGTACATTTTCACTCTGAGATTTGTTCTGGATCATCTTCCATTATCCTCCCCAGATAGGACCGTCTCCAGAGCCAAACGTGGCATTCATTCTCCTATTGTCTCAAGCGGATAAATTTAGATTGGGTGGGTGGGGGTGGGGGGGGGGGGGGGGGGGGTATAAGCGCTGCAGGGGTCGGGTACTGAACATTTCCGATACTTGAGGAGCGATCTTCGGAGCTAAATGTGGCGCTTTTCATCAGGCGTGTTTACCATCCTACCTGGAGCCAAGATCAGAGGAGCAGCACTTCTCACCACATCAAGCAGCGTTACACTGATAACTGATAACAGATGTGACGCCGCGCCAACTCAAAACATTGAATTTCCATTCCCCTTTTGGATCTAATGGCAGTGTAAACCACGCGCATGATAAAAGATGAGATGTCAGCTGTGAACATTTTATTCAGGGACTGCATGAAAGTGAATAGGGGGAGAGGAGGTCAATAAAAAGGGAAGGTGTTGTTATTTTTCCTTCAGGAAGGGTAGTCTGCACTATATTTTATCATTCTGAATTCATATTTAGTTTCATCAAAATAGTTAATAGTTACATAAAGAGTTACTGTTCCCACAAGCAGGAAAACACTTTAGTCTTGGTATTAGGTTTTTTAATATTGTGTTGATTTAATTTTCAGGAACAATGCGCATTGATCAACACCACTACACAGTGTTGCCAGTGTAAAGCTGTCGCTCCCAACGACGCAACTTTACTTTGAGCTAAATGCTAAAGTCGCCATGGTAACATGCTCACAGTGACAATGCTAACACGCTGATGTAACGTTTACCATGTCAGCTATCGTAGTTTAGCATGTTAGCAGTCTCATATAATTTTGACCTTGTGGTGGTGCTAGAGGAAAAGTCCGTGTTAGTACATCTTCTGTGGACCATGAATATCTGTGCTGAGTTTCATGGCAATGCGTTTCCATCCAAAATGTTGCACAGACTGACTTAGAGCCACTAGCGGCTTCACTGGTGGCTCACACTAGAAATCCCATTAAGATTTCATTTGATGTACACTATTAAACAAGTTGTATAACAGTGTTATATTATTTTCACACTTTGTAGGGAGGGTGTTGTAGTTTGTTAAGACGAGGGTTGAAAGAAGGCATTAACGCCCCCGGAGAGAGCTTAGCTGTTTTGTTTTTTTTACGAAGTGAAAGATAAGGTTCGCCGCCCCCAATAATTGTCATACAGTCCCTTGCAGCTATTTTCATGATATCATCTAAATTTGATTCTCGTTTTGCTCAAGATGACATTCGGCCTGAAGACGTGCAGTGTATTAATAGTGACGACCGCACTGTTTGCACCCCCACACACCCTGACCTTTGACCCTGCCTGTATCTGAGGGACTGGAAGTGTGATCAGGTGGTGTGAAAAGCGTCAGACGCCGATTAGGTTTCCCCTTCATCACCTGCAGCGTCTTCTCTCGCTGTTGTTTATTCTGACGTGTGAGGCGTCCCACTCAGACGGGACCTAATAGCGTGGTAATTGGTGTTAGATTAGATTAGGCTATCACTGGAGCTAACTGATCTGATCAGGCCTGCTAGCAGCGAACAATAACTAAGAAACGATCAGATAACAAAGTGAGAGCTGACAACTGAGACTATCAGTGGTCAAACTGGGTTTAACGGTGATGCACGCTGAGTTATGTCTCGGTGAACAATAATTTGGACCGGCACCTATCGTGTGAAACACTAACCTGCTTCGGCTCCTTATCTCCACTCAAAATCTCCCTCCCTTAATCCTCCTTCCTCAACCCATATTTCCTTTTTTTTTTTTCCTCCCTCGTGAATGGATCACACATCTCCCTCCATTATTAATGTGATAATTAGCGGTGGAGAAGGGGGTGAGATCATGGCTAATAAGAAGAATAAATAACTGTGGAAATGTAATTTGAGTTTAATGAAAAGTCTGGCTGAGGGGAGAGCGAAAGACTGATGAGTGGAGATGGCATGTGAAAGGTGTGTGTTGGTGCTCAGGGTGATGTCACAGAGATGAGAACAGAGTATGACCTCATGCTTTCCACACACACACACACACACACACACACACAATCTCACTCATGCATGCTTTTTTTCAAGACCCTTTCCTCTCTTACGAACATTTTCTCTGAAAATCATTCCCCCCCGCTGCGACCCATTTTTTTCCCCTTCCTCTTTCCAACATTTGCAGCAATAAAGCAGATAGCATTTACTCTGAGCTGCGACCTCACGACTTCTCGTACCACCGCGGTGCCCAAGGAGAGAAGACACGTTGTCCACCCTGACTCCAGCTCATCTAAACGCGCTGCAGGAGTAGGTGATGAGCGGCGAGGATGTGGTGGGAAGGGGTTAATGGCTGCCACTGCCAGCAGCGGAGGAACACCTGCAGGAGCGTTTTCAGACTCACCCAGCTCCTCCTCTTGATAACATACACAGGCGTCAACAGAGCCGCGTTTCCTCGGTTACACAGAGAGACATGTAAGCACCCGCCCGCTTACATGCCAGGCTGGTCGTGCATAAACAAACCCTCGCTGCTGAGGCGGGACAAGAGGACTTCTCTGCCAATGTCCGCTCATTAACACCAGATATGATTTAAAAAGCCACTAATTGACCAGTTTAATGTGCGCGGAATGAATCATCAGCCAGACTTTGTTTAACTGTTGACCTCCTTGTGGCAAAACTCAAAAAATGTAAAACATTTTATATCAACATTTAATAACCCCTGATGCTGAGACATTTTGGACATGAATACTTTCTTTACAGTCTCCATAGTTTTTATTGCAAATATAAAAAGTTATCTTGAGACATTGAAAATGTTACCCACTGTTTAACTTTATAGACGTAGTGTCTTCATGGGAACAGTTGGTCCTTTTGAATAGGGTTGAGTTACTAATTGACTTTCCAGCCCCGAAACCTACAAAAACAGATGAGATGTCATTCATCTTGTCAACACTAGATGGTGACAAGCGCCTTGTTTGGAGTGAAAGCAGGGTCCAGTTCATTATGTTCTCCTCTCATGAAGCTCATGTTGAGGTTTCTAAACTCCTCCAAACACTCACAAACATAAGAACTTAGTCCCATGGGGAGCTTTTGCTGCATGTCGTCCCCTCTCTCTCACTCCCCCTTTCCTGTCTGTCTATTTGTACACTCTAATGAAGGCAAAAAATGCCCTAAAAGGTAATCTAATAGAAGAAAAAAGAACTGAGCCCATTTTTTTCTCCCCGTCCTGTCAGGTTTCCTGGGCCGGGCCTGAAGCGATCGCACCCCGGCTCCGAGTCCCGAAGCAACAAGCCCCCTGAGCCGATCATCAGCCAGATCATAGACAAACTGAAACACATCAACCAGGTCAGCAGTGCTCGCGTGTGTGATGTGTCCATTGTTTGTGTGTTTGTTCACAGTGTACCGCTTCTCCGGTCCTTTACGGTAAGTTTGACCTCTTCAAGTGAGCAGTTCCTCTGTGTTCCACTTCTCCCTCATATTTGAGAGAAAGACCACTGAAAAGCTGTGCTCAAGGTGATGTCACCCACCTGCTCTTTGTGAACACAAAGAAATGCTATTGGCAGGAAACGTCTGAATAGATGTTATTCTGTGTCTCATCTGCGCTGCAAAGAAAACCAAAAACAACTTCCTTTCAGACACAAATCCACCCAAAAGGCGAGCAGACGAGGGCGACGGAGGTTGTTGTTGTGACGGACAGAAATTATGTCCTCCATCCGCAGCTGACGTCAAGGCCGAAGCCCTCTTTTTTTTTTCTTTTTTTTTTCCGTCTTCGTCGTCGTCGTCCCCATGGAAACCACCTTTTGGAGTGGGCTGGCAGGAGTGCAGAGATGCTCGGATGTGGGCTCGACGTCGGCCTCTGTAGGAAGACGTATCAGCCCACAGATCTGTCTGCATTTCCTGGTTCCCCGAGGTTACACTTATAGCTGTCGACACGTCGGATGGCCGCTGTGCCCCCCCCAACACAAACACCATCTTCCAGCTGCAAAGTGTGTTTGCGTGTGTGTCCGGGTTTTTTTGTCTGCATGTATGTGATTGAGCGTCTTGAGTGCTGCAGGCCTGTCACAGTGGATTACAATCCTTCTCTCCTGTTTAAACAACCTGGGAGATCCGAGCAGCGACTGTGGACCTTCCTCCACTCCAGAGACCCTCAAGAAAAATACAGAGGGTGGTGGTTTGAGACGGTGTAATTTTCCCAATTACTTTTGCTGTATTACCTCACGGGCGCTTCGTCCCGCTGTAGGCGAGAGGAGCGACACTTGAACGGGACCTTTCGGTGTTTACTTGACCTCTGCCCTCTTCAGAATCCCCCAAAAGGATTCATCCTAGAGCTTCGGTTTAAAAGATTCCAGTGTATAGAAATGGGGATCGTATTATTGTAGTTTTGACCATTTTATTACTCTTACTTTAATTTAATACTGTCACTGTTAACTACAGCTACTCTATATTTGAGCAACATTGATGACATAAAGTCCGACAGGGCAAGAAACAAAAGCGGTCAGATGATCAGACTGGACAGTTTGCTTAAAATCTGTACGATCGTCTGCCTGCGTGTCCCTCGCCCCCATCTCACTTCAGCGTTGCAGCATTCCCATCCCTCAGCAGTTAACTTGTTGAGTATGATGTTTGTGATACCAATAGGAATGATGGCCAAAAATACAAACCCAATACAGTTCTGTGTGTGTGTGTTTATTTGTAATAAACTGGGATCATCCTATAATCCTAAAAACACAGGACATGTACACGTACGCGCTCTAATAGAATAAGCCTTTGAAAACTTCCTGCCCTGACAGGGACAAACATTTGCACCGATGTGATAACAAGCAGAGCAGCAGCAGCGCAGAGCGTTTACCGCGTGGATCGGGTTCCTGATGAGGTTTTGATGAGGTTTTGTAAGAAAATGCAGTTTGGCGAAATGACAGAGCTCATTGTGTTGCAGACATTCAGACAATCCATTCGAAACACGGACGCAGTCGAGCTATTCCTGCCTGCACGTGATCAGATGCTCTCGGTAACCTAACGCTCGTTCCTCATTGGCCCCCCGTTGCACTGATGACGCGGTCTACATGTGGACATTTACGAGCGTTTGATTCTGTTTACATAAACGCCTGATATTTATGCAGATTGGCTATTCACATGGGAGCTTTTAATCCCATATCCGATGACCGTACAGCAGAGTCAAGCACATTTCCCACTTCCCTTCAGATCTCGACATCAATGGGCTGGATCAACATCTGACGAAAGGCCGACTGCTCTTGATGGTGTATTTCACGTGCAGTAAAACTGTTTATGACTCAGACGTTTGTGCAGAAATCAGATGACACAGATATTTTTTACGACAAACCATCACTACATTGAGGTACACAAACTAACAGGATTAAAAGGGTGATGCAATACAAAACAATAGTCCCGCAAAAAAAAAAAAAAACTCCCCTTGTGAAGTTTATAATATTATAGTTTTCTGGTGCCTGAGAGAGCTCACTCACTCGGTTAACTGCTGATGTTTCAATTTTGCATTATAAGCTGTTCCTGTTATTTTGTCTATCCATTTCTTTATCCATTTTTTTAATTTGCTAACATTTTAGAAACACATTGATTGTTCACTGCTAAAGTAAGAACAAGACTAAGAGTCTGCAGGAGGATATAGTTATAGTTAGAATGAAAACATGCTCACAATGACGATGTGAAAGAACTGCGTCTCAAATTATTCTTCAGGTTCTTCTTTGTGGCATATACAGGTGCTGGTCATATAATTAGAATATCATGAAAAAGTTGATTTATTTCACTAATTCCATTCAAAAAGTGAAACTTGTCTATTATATTCATTAATTACACACAGACTGATATATTTCAAACGTTTATTTCTTTTAATTTTGATGATTACAACTGACAACTAAGGAAAATCCCAAATTCAGTATCTCAGAAAATTAGAATATTACTTAAGACCAATACAAAGAAAGGATTTTTAGAAATCTTGGCCAACTGAAAAGTATGAACATGAAAAGTATGAGCATGTACAGCACTCAATACTTAATTAGGGCTCCTTTTGCCTGAATTACTGCAGCAATGCGGTGTGGCATGGAGTCGATCACTGCTCAGGTGTTATGAGAGCCCAGGTTGCTCTGATAGTGGCCTTCAGCTCTTCTGCATTGTTGGGTCTGGCATTTCGCATCATCCTCTTCACAATACCCCATAGATTTTCTATGGGGTTAAGGTCAGGCGAGTTTGCTGGCCAATTAAGAACAGGGACACCATGGTCCTTAAACCGGTACTGGTTGCTTTGGCACTGTGTGTAGGTGCCAAGTCCTGTTGGAAAATGAAATCTGCATCTCCATAAAGTTGGTCAGCAGCAGGAAGCATGAAGTGCTCTAAAACTTCCTGGTATACGGCTGCGTTGACCTTGGACCTCAGAAAACACAGTGGACCAACACCAGCAGATGACATGGCACCCCAAACCATCACTGACTGTAGAAACTTTACACTGGACCTCAAGCAACGTGGATTGTGTGTCTCTCCTCTCTTCCTCCAGACTCTGGGACCCTGATTTCCAAAGGAAATGCAAAATTTACTTTCATCAGAGAACATAACTTTGGACCACTCAGCAGCAGTCCAGTCCTTTTTGTCTTTAGCCCAGGCGAGACGCTTCTGACGCTGTCTGTTGTTCAAGAGTGGCTTGACACAAGGAATGCGACAGCTGAAACCCATGTCTTGCATACGTCTGTGCGTAGTGGTTCTTGAAGCACTGACTCCAGCTGAGTCCACTCTTTCTGAATCTCCCCCACATTTTTGAATCGGTTTTGTTTCACAATCCTCTCCAGGGTGCGGTTATCCCTATTGCTTGTACACTTTTTTCTACCACATCTTTTCCTTCCCTTCGCCTCTCTATTAATGTGCTTGGACACAGAGCTCTGTGAACAGCCAGCCTCTTTTGCAATGACCTTTTGTGTCTTGCCCTCCTTGTGCAAGGTGTCAATGGTCGTCTTTTGGACAACTGTCAAGTCAGCAGTCTTCCCTATGATTGTGTAGCCTACAGAACTAGACAGAGACCATTTAAAGGCCTTTGCAGGTGTTTTGAGTTCATTAGCTGATTAGAGTGTGGCACCAGGTGTCTTCAATATTCAACCTTCTCACAATATTCTAATTTTCTGAGATACTGAATTTGGGATTTTCCTTAGTTGTCAGTTATAATCATCAAAATTAAAAGAAATAAACATTTGAAATATATCAGTCTGTGTGTAATGAATGAATATAATAGCCAAGTTTC